AATATCGACTGAATTCTACCATTCATTGAAAGAAGATTGATTTCATAGTCTGAAAAATGGAAACCATAGTCACTGAATACAATAAATACTACGTCAAGTACTTCAAATAAATAAATTATACGATAGTCTGGCCTGTAATTTTTTGAACAGATGATGACAGAGATTTAAGTGAATAAATCTAGAAGAATATAAATGTACAGAATGAATTTCTTAACTAGTGGTAATATGAAAATTCGATGAAGTTGTTAAACATGATTCACAATTCTGATAATGTCAAACATAATAGCGTAAGATTTCAGAATTCAGCTGACTCAGAAATGTTTATCACTGAAAGAAAAATGTTTTAGAAGGAAATATTGAATCTTATTAAGAAGCATTCAAATTTTATACATCATGAGTTACATTTCATTTTAAAAAAGAATATAATGAATAAAATTAAAAGTATATAGTTAAATGAAATTCTTTTAGGAAACAGTTGAAGTCTTCATTATTTTATTCACATATTTTATCGTTTTCTTCTCCAATTACTGTTAGAGGAAAAATAAATTCCACTGATATTTCGTGAAACCTTATGCTTGTTTTGATTATATATAACACGCACTTTAATATAAATTGAAAGAAAAGAAATTAAATAATCACGAATATTTGGAAAGAAAATTAAAAACGATTTAACCTTGATGAGGTTGCAGTTTGCAATTCGAAGAGTGTAAAAATGAGATTGAAAGAATACAGGTATTTTTGTTATTTGAATAGTTCCAGAGAGTAAGTCAGATACCGATGAATCACTAACAACGCCTGGATATGTAACTATCCAAACAATATAGAAGATAAATAATTTACAGTTGATGAGACTCCAACTATGAACTTAGTTGTCAGAATACAAAATATATCTTTCAGTATAGGATTCCCAGTTTTACACCACAAACTGACTTATGTTAGACAACTAAAGGGAACTAGGCAGCACTGAACAGGTGTTTTGTCCTCATATAGGAACTCTTGGCAATGAGTGTCCACAACCGCGTAGGGTTTGAACACAGGACCGTAGGGCATCACAGCAAGTGCTTGGCCTTTAGATGATTGAGTGACTTCGGTATTATCACCCTAATATATATAAGTACGAGGTCTAGGTAACAAGAAAATGACCACATATTTATAGACATGGCTGGGACACGTGTTACGTATGCCCAACCACGGACTGCACCGACGTGCGATGTAGGTTGGAAGAAAGCTAGGGGCGGCCAGACCAAAACATGACACAAATCCATGAAGTCACTGACAAGTGGACTGAGGTATGTTGGTAGGTGTAGAATATCTGGTTGGGATCTGCGAGATGATAGCAACCGATGGTTAGAGACATGGCTCAAAATCGTTTGCAATGGCGCAGGTGCATCCACTCTTTGTGTTCTCCGAAATTCTAATCTTCTGAATTCTTCACGTCCCTTTTTTTTCTCTTTCCAAATTTATTTCATTGGATAACACTAAATAACATCTTCAAACCCTAATGTTTCCGATTATTGTTTATAATCTTACTAACTCTACCACTATGGGATTTGAATCGACAACTGTATCTCTGTGCTAATGTGGTATGGCAACTCGAACTGATGCACGTACGTACGAAGTTCTACGTTGTTGCTGACTGACTGACATATTCATAAGACTGATGTGACTACAAATCGAACAATGCAGTATGCACGATGAAGAATGGTGACTAATTATGATACTTACCAAACAGAGTATTATAAACACTACATCAGTTACTGGACAGCAGAAAATTTTACAACCTTTCGTAAACCACAGACTGATCTATCTAAAACTCCTAACAAATTTAATTCCATTGACAGAAAAACGTTAAGTGTGTGTTATATTAACAGAAGAGCATTTTGATCAGAAAAGTTAAAGGAGCTTCTGTACAATAAGTCACGCAATAAGTGAAATAATAAATCGAAAAGATTCAACCCTCTAAAATATTAAGAACCTGAGCATGAACAAAAATTAAATAGGTGTACTATGAATTGTGTTACAAGTAGTTCATCTGCTATCAAATATTAAACTACGTTATTATTCAAAACTCAGCAAACTGCAAGTCCAACGAACTTGACTAAATGGGATTTAAGCCATAATAAATTAACTCAAGATGTCATACTAACAGGTCGGAAAATAGCTTGGAAGCACTGCAAATAAACTTAGTGGAATCATGATAAATAATTAGCCTTTCATTTTTAAAGCAAGGTCACCGATTTGTCAAAAATATTGCTCCTAAAAATATCATTAACTAATGTATCTAAACATTATTGCATTATGAGCAAAGATGGAGGATGGCTAACAGTGGAATCTAAGACGCGTGTTTCGTCCTATTTGGGACTAGTCAGATGGATGTACCTGCATTCCAAAGTTGATGTCTACTTCGGGACTCGAACCCAGCACCGTCTGCTTCAAACGCCATCACGTCATCCACTTAGCCACTGAATCCATCTGACGAGTCCCACACAGAAAGAAACGCACGTCCTGGACTCCACTACTAGCCACCATCTGTTAAGTTCTCTACTTGAATACGCACGAACACTCTATATAACGGATGACACTCGAACGTTATAACCTCCAACCGCTCGCAAGTAAGAAGACGAAAGACGTTTGTGAGCACTTATTGACAAGAATCAAAATATACAATAAAACGTGCGTATTTATACAAAATTATATATAATCAATGTCGTCATTTAAATTTTTAAACATTCATCAATAAGTTAGTCAATTGACTGCTATTCAAATATTTGACATCTGATCGATAAGTTAATCGATAACTTAGTCAATCGACTATGTACGTGGGTGGCTTCTCGGTGGCCATCCCAACACCATCCATCTTTGCTCATAATGCTTGTGATTTAAGCTGATATCGAGGCGATCCGCACAAGATGCACATAAGTTAGTAAAAGACCGATTAATTTCAGTCCTCAACACCAGTGAGAAGATTCAAACAAACAATACAAAATGAATCATTACGGTAGTTTAGGATGAGAACTATTTGGAGTTAACTCAGTGGTCTAAATGTAACGTACTTGACAAGAGCAAAAATGACAATGAATGTACATTGCTTAGGAGTTCCATATTAGAGTTATCCATCTAAATTCAGTTAGTAAGGTAAACTACCTTAGGATTAAACAAGCCCCACAGACCTTTGATTCTATTACAAAAATGTTATTGAATCTATGTGTATACCTCCACGAAAATCGAAGTAATAACTGATAACTCAGAGGATTGTTTACTTTTACTGTCTAATATTTCCAGTCAGTCAGTCAGTCAGCTGCAACGTAGGACCAGGCATGTATATGCATCGGTCCAAGTTCCCATACCTAATTAGCACAACAAGATGAACACCGGATTCATATAAGCAAATAATTCAGCGGTGGTAATAAATAAAAGAAAGATTGCATATAAGGATATAGTACAGGAAGAAAGAATTAGTTCGTAGAAAGAAAGATGTGAAGCGATTTTAATCTCATAGTTTAAGGGAAGACAGAGAGTGTATATACCTGCGCCAACGTGATCGATTATGAACCATGTCACCAAGTCTCTGACCATTGGTTACGGTAGTCACGTGAACCCTAACCGAGTAGTCTGCATCTACCAACATGGCTCAGACCAGAAGTTAGTGACTTCAAGCACTGATGCCACGTTTTGGTTTGGCCGCCCCTAACTTTCTTCCAGTCATCCCTAACACCGGTTACCATTGCGCGTCGTGGTAATCGGTGTTCAGGCATACGCAGCACGTGGCCCAACCATCTCAGTCGATGAAGATTCATAACCTCATCAACTGATTTACCATCATTCCCTAATACCCTGCGTCTAACCTCACTATTACTTACCCGGTGATCCCAGCAGATACCCGCAATATTTCTAAGGCACCTGTGGTCAAATACTAGTAACTTACGAATAAAGTAATTCATCCAGAGGAATAACAAAGGCATTTACCCTATACTAAGACTGATTACCTAGGCATTCCACTAAATACGATTGAAATGAAATCTTGAACAAATTGACAAAAAGATAACCATTAATGAATACACATGACAATACTGTTCTCGAGGTACCACTACTTGTAGAAAGTACAAGAATGAAGACTAATACCTGTAGAGATATTTAGCAGAAACTAAGATAACCTAGTTCTGATGGTTCCCCAATGGACACAGGTCAATTTTACTTTGCACTTGAACGAACAAGTTTCTCGATACTTTTCGTGTATTTTTACATCATCGTCCGAAAAATAATCGGTTGATAGTTTTTCATTAATTTTAAAAAAGTTTTACGGACTGACTTGTTTCTCTTTCGCAGACATACATATCAGAGTATGATCTCGCAAAAAAGTTGTTGCATTTCTCAACAAAGATATCAAAGTGAAATAGAATCGTACATGTCGGAAAGAGGAAATGATTGAAGAGTAGAAGGATGACCAGGATTTAGAGGGTACTAGTACATGGTTTTACGCTATTGTGACACATTCGAAAATATGTCACTAATGATTTCTGTCAGCCAGTGCCTCATCTGAGAAGTCAACATCTTTCTACGTGACTTAAATCAAGTTAGTGAATTCAAGGAATGGTGTTATATTCCAATTCAATAGCTCTTAGTTTTTAAAATTAATTGCATTTCGATGGCTATCCCACTGTGGGGTAGGCGAGAACTCGATAATTGTAAAATATAACCAAGCTACTTTCACGTTTGTGATTTTCATTGTTACCATGGGATACATTATGTATATTAACGAGTATTTTTTTACTGAATAGCCTCCTTAAAAGAAAATAAGTAAAAGAGTGAAAACTAATCTTTATTTCATTCCCCTAAGTTGGTTGCAATGTAAAGGAAACTCATCAAGAATATACTTTATGGAAAATTCCAATTTAAAATACATAAGATATATTTGATGAAAACTAATGATACAGAGAATGTATAGTAACATTTAAAATAATAGCAAACACTCTTACAAATTAATCTGAAAAAAACATCAGTCACTTAGGGAAATAAGTTTTACCGATGACTGGAAAATAGTAAGGATAATATTCGGCAACCTGTCAAACACAAGAAATAAAATAAACATTCGGAAAAAAACAAGGGAAATAATTGAAATATATTTGTCATAAACTAGACAACAATATCTTATTTATTATTTAATGAAATAGAATATACATTAACTAATAAATTTCACAATCAATAAGCTACAACGCAACAAGTTTAATTTCTTCTAATAAAACGAGTTCTTTTGATAAATTGACGAAGTTTCGTTCAGTTTATAAGTGTAACAGTAAATAAAAATTATAATAAAAACAGTAAAAATATGGACAGTTATAACAAAAGAAACCTGAGTATACGATTCATAACGAAATAACATTGTATGATCACAAAAGGTTTTCACATATAAAAAACATCAGCAAATGTTATTCATTGTATTTAAATGAAATATATCGCATCCAAAAAGCATAAACAATTCCAACAGCACGAAATGGTGTAGCAGCTAAAATCTCCACACAAGCGAATACAATACCCGGAATAAAATCAGAAAGATAACGGCATCGTACACTTACAGGAGGAAATATCCCAGCAGTTATCCAAGAAAGAAATACTCCCTCTAGTCCACATATACTAACCAATTTTCCATTCATTATATCCAAATATACAGACTTGGCCACATCATCCGGTGACGCTAGCCCTGCAGTAGCAGATATCGTCTTAGTTACAACTGGTTTACCAACATTTTCACGCTAAAAAATGTGAATTTTGCTTTTAAAAAATTTCGAACGAGATGTTTTATTATACTCAATTATTAATTTACAATAAGTTCTCAAAACAACAAGTAGTAAAAATGGACATATCAGTGGTAATAAATAAGACTAACCATAAAGAATATGATTCGAAAAGCAAACAGGATTTGCAATAAAAGTTATACAACAATACTGAAACTCAGAATCTGGAGATGAACATGCAGAGAATGTAGATCCATCATTATGATTAATTCTGAATCATATCACTCAGTATTTCCAACCACTGATCATAATAATCGTATGGACTCCAACCAGGTGGGTATACTTCAAACAATATGGTTTAGATGAAGTCAATAACTTCATGGATGAGACGTCCTACTTTTATTGCCCCTAGCTTTCTTCCAACTTAATTCACGTCATTTAACACTACGAATCGAGGTAAATAGTAGTTGTGTGTACGTAATACACGTCCAAACTATCTCAGTCAAAGAATCATGATATTATATGTAAATTACATTGGAGAGTAGATGGGAACCAGCAAATAAATGTATTACGTGATAAGAAAATTCAACTAGTCCTAATACCTATTTGAGAAAGATAAACGCTAAACATGAACTAGTATTTCTCATTGTATAATGCCTAAGTGCGCAAATACTTGTGTTCTCCATATAATCTATTCCAAGGAATCATGAACATTTTAAGAATATATCTATAAGGAATAGAATAAAAACCATTTTAACGTCCATTTTTGATAAAAAAATGTCATGATGAATTCAAACGATGATGCTTCAAAACCACAGACTGGAACTTGGAAGTTCCAAGACTATGACAACTAACTTTATCAAAGTTTTATATAACCAAATCAGTAGAGATAGTCTCGTATGATATAACTCCCCCCAAATGCCCTGGTATGGCCGAGAGCGGGGAGGGTTCGCCCTCCCTCTCGAAATACTCTCACACGGCCACGCGTATACAGCCTCTGCCAGGGAAGTCCTACTCACTGCCTTCTCGTGGCGGGGGTGTTGTTTACGAAAATGAGAGGACGAAAAGCGAACGTCCGGCGCTATAACCGGATCCCAAACCAATGGTGCACATGGGCTCCAGTATCCTGCGGGAACAAATGGCGTATGAACCAATCGTTGGTCACCGGCTACCATGGGACTGCATCTCCTCACGATGCTCCACTGCCTTGTGGACTAGACCTTTAGGTCAAAGGCTCGGGGTGTGGCCCCCTAAGAAAACCACCTGCTTCGGTCTGGGCGCCCGGGCAGTATCTCAGCCCACACACTAAAACTATGATGAACTATCTGCTTATAGAAAATATTCGTATGATATAACTAGGAAACCACTTATATCAAAGCGTCAATTAAAGAAACTAGAACCGGAGTTTTTTACAACTTCAAAAACATTTGGAATTGTTTACCACTTAAACTTATGTTGCACAGTAACCAATGATTTTTATCATTACAAAGTTTTCGCACACAAACTGGAAAGTTTACAAGTCTTATAAACACATTTAAAAGTTTGGAAAGCCCCTTGGGGATTATTTTAGATTAAATTATTATTACTAACGAAAGACAGATATTAGAAAAAATCCCATAATTGGGCTTTTCTATTATTAGCAGTGTTTGACGGATAAAACATTATGCTCAAATTTATTCAATCACTACGAACACTTTGGTGCTGTTCTTACCAAATGACTTCTAAAAAGTATTTGGTTTTTGAAATAAAGAGATTGCAGGTATAAGTAATAGCATTATCACAGAGGTGATGCGTTTTTTCTTTGGTTCGTGAAGGTCGATTTCTTGCCCGAAAATTCACTTATAGATTCGGAGTCCACAAAAAGTCCTAATCACTTAAAATGGAAAAGCAAGACTCCCTGGACATCTTGACTGACAACCCGACAATGTTCAAGATTAATGCTGTGCCCATCCACAATGTAAACGTTTACTCAAGAACCAGTCTACATTAGAGAATACTTCGATATTAGGTAAAGTAGTTGAGTGCGTTGTTCGCTTCATTCTCATTAGGGGTCCAACCATCCCTGCTAAGCTGATGATTGACAAAAACTCAGTACATTAATTGATGAATGAGGAATAACCAATATCATGGTTATTTAGTCTTTAGTCTTTATTGAACTCTATCAGGTTTCAACGTAGCGTCTAGTCTAAAGTGACTCAACATCACGTTCACCATACCTTGATGTTGAGTGATTAGAAGAAGTCCAAGCATCGACAATAAAATGTTAGTTATATTCATTATAATAATTATTCGAATGATTGGGTATTATAATACGATGTACATACGTATCAGGTTCTACGTTGTGACTGACTGACACGATTATTGGTTTACAGAAACATGAGTTTTGAACTTACAATGTATCCGGGAGTGTCTGTATCTGGTGGGAAAGCGATTGTTACAAATGGGCCTTTATATCCTAACTCCATTTCCAATGTCTCCGCGAAACCACGTAAAGCATATTTACTACCCGTGTACGCTGCATAACCATATACACCCACTTGACTGGCAAGACTACAAATGAAGGCAATGCGTCGTTCATGAGTCTGGTGAACTTTCTGATCTAACATGTAAGGTAATAAAATTTTCGTCACATGAACAGCAGATAAGTAATTCAGATGTAACATTCCCTGGATATCATCAGTGGGAGTATCCAAAAACTTGCGCGCAACAGCATAGCCAGCACAATTCACTAAAATATCAACAGATCCTGTAATATATAGAAACACAAAGTCACTCTGGATGATATTAGTTCTATAATTAGAAAATTAGGACCAATACCGCTCTCATCTGGCGTTGAAAACAGATAAAATCTGAAAGGAATTATGATAGATGCTAACTGGTACTCAGAAAAAGTTCTAGCTTGGGTGTTGCAACTGAATATTTACGAAGAATTTAACCCATGAACAAAGAAGCTTGGCTGACACTGTATTAACATCAAGAGTAGTCTTCAATATAACTTAACCTTCCATAACTTTACAAAAAATATTAACATTCTAGTCCCTTAACGTAAAACCAATAAAAATGTTTCGGTCCAAAAGAATAAATACTTATTTCTTAAATAGTTGTGTCGTATCGTAGTACCAGCCTGGTATAGAAAACTAAAATAGAAAGGCATATCTCATTGAATCTAGTTCCACACAACAGAATATATGCTTTTAGTACTACAGAGTAAATCAAATCCTACGGTATTGTAGAAATTAACGCGAAAGTTACAAAACACATCTATTCGCAATGAGTATTTAGGTCACTAGTGTGGTATGTGCCCACAGTTTTGGTGATTTCATTATCTCTCTTAACTACTGCCCTAGTATTAAAAAACAAATATACTTAAATTGTTTTTCTTTAACCGCTAACGATGTCACATAAGAAACAACGCACAATCTCAACAGAAGTCCCAACAAACATCAACGAAAGTGCTAAGACAGAAATAGGAACAGGACTAGCCATTAAGCGCATAACTGGTAAGCATGTGAGTTGAGACGATTTCTCACATGTTCTAATAATTGTTGAATCCATAACTATGCCCTTGAGCAGCAATGTTGCAACCCTGGGTAGAATATACTTAGGATGGTAATGACATTACACAAATCTACACAACTAACCCTAGACAATCATGTGGCATCGGCGCTTGAAGTCACTAACCTCTAGTCTTAGCCATGTTGGTAGATGCAGACTACTCGGTTAGGGTTCACGTGACTACCGTAACCAATGGTCAGAGACTTGGTGACATGGTTCATAATCGATCACGTTGGCGCAGGTATATACACTCTCTGTCTTCCCTTAAACTATGAGATTAAAATCGCTTCACATCTTTCTTTCTACGAACTAATTCTTTCTTCCTGTACTATATCCTTATATGCAATCTTTCTTTTATTTATTACCACCGCTGAATTATTTGCTTATATGAATCCGGTGTTCATCTTGTTGTGCTAATTAGGTATGGGAACTTGGACCGATGCACACATATGCCTAGTCTTACGTTGTAGCTGACTGACTAGCTGAGAAAATCATGTGCCAGTAAACTAGGTGTAAATAAGTCTAGTTGTAAGTGAAAGATCCTGTGAAGCGAATACAGTGTTAGTAGTCTACTAATTACTGTGCTCAAATGAGATAGACAAAAACGTAGCCAAACTAAGTTCAGAGCTCCAGAGTTATCAGAATATCGTTGTAATTAAGTGACTAGATAAAGAAAAGTGGTTAGATTTAATCCTTTTTGGAGTAAGTGTTCTTCCGTGTTTGTTAGTGGTGTGTATAACCAGCTTAGTCTCAATTACACGTTTTAAGAAAGCCAAATGAACGCTAGAAGAACCTTCCTTTTTATTACAGTAACATAAAAATATAACTCGAAGACCACATGTGACAAACTGTCGACGTAACAATTGAGTCATCACGGGTCCACAAAACTAGTACACATTCTGATCCTCATTTTCTTATTGGACTAAATGTTGGTATGTATGTTAGCAACTAGATACAGATGTTACTTGATATTAGTTAGTACTGAAAGCACGAGTGGAGAAAACAGTCAGAGGTGTTTGGTGGTTTCCATCTAAACTAAAAGTAAGAACGGAAAGAAAAATCGGCGAGTTATGTACCAGCATAAAATGTGGTACTCGTCCTAGTACAGTACGTTATCAGAACTAAAAGTCCACAAGGCTCAAGTGACAATTTTAAAAAGTGCTACACTGTCTTACCAAGAGTAGCCACATGTTCACTGAAGATTTCATTCAAAACACTATACTCTGAAGTCAAATCAACTGACAAAATAAAGACATTGTTATTTCTATCTTCTCCACATTTTATAATTTCCCGTGCAGACTCAAGTTTCTTCAGGTCTCGAGCGACGATTGTTACATTAGCACCAGCTCCGTAAAACAGCTTAGCCAGAGATAGACCGATTCCGCTCGATCCACCAGTAATTAAGACATTAAAGCCATGAAGTGACCTTCTACTACCAGGATTGTTGTTTTGCCAATAAAATAACAGGCAAGCAGCGAATACGAAGGCTGTAGTGGAGATGACAAAAATCTACAAAAGTTTCAAGATCAGCTAAACCCACACAAGTTCAACAAGTCGGAATTGAGAAATACTTTGTATTTGGACAAACTATTTTTTCAGTTTTAAACAATGGATCCTTAAATATCATCATCTGAAAGATCATATTCTACAAGACTGGAGTGATTTTCATTGTTTTTAAAGAGAGTGGAAGGTTTATGCTTGTTCTCTAGTAAAGGTAAGTGAATAGAGACATCACGTTCTAAAAGCCCAGATAGATCGGAGAGTGCAAGGTGGCCTTTCGGTACATAAGGATCAATTATGGTGTCCGAAATCTCACATGCTTCCATGTGAGGACGTCTACTGCGCAAGTAATTGTTCTTTATCACATCAACAGAGAAAAGAATCGACTTTATCTGATGATCTGGATACGAAGTACATGTAGCCTGTCCCAGTAAGCTTCCCAGCTTCTTCGCAAAGTGCATATCACTGACAGACTTGGATGCAGCATCGGAAATATTGTGCTTATGAGTAGAATTCTTGTTTTTCAACGTGACCAATCTATTTAATTGACTAAGTTTGGCTCTCTTGTAACCAGTCATTGAGAACACGAATAAAACTGCTACTGCTGATGGGAAATACTCAATATCAAATCCTCATTAATCCTTACCCCGAAAAAGGAGGAATATCTAAACTTGTATACTTGACATCTAAAAACATTCATGGGATAATTTAGGCGCGAATCCCTTCAAGCTTCTATAGGATTTACGCAAGGTGTATACCAGTTCATATTGGCGCCCTATTTACATTGCTTACCACACTTCCTTATGTTCAGTGTTTCGTTTTAAGGATGGTATGTAAATTAACTCGTGTTAATCCACGCAGTGTGCTTCACCTTGAGGATCTAATTTATGCTCGACGGTATTCTTCAGTCAGGCTCATACTCTTTGTTTTGGAAGGATGTTCCAACCGATTTTCAGTCTATAGAAATAATGATAGGATTCCAAGTTACTTGTACATATCTTCACGATTTATAGTACTATGGAGCTTCGCTCTCTCTTTGAATTTGTCTGCATGCATTGCTTATTCTGGTAGGGAGTTCAAGTAATTTACCACAGAGCTTGAAACGAAACTGACATAGGCGATTCAATCTCAGTTTTTGAACTTTCCAAAAATGCCATCTCAGATTATTAGGCCCAAATGGATGAAAAAGATAAGATTTATTAACAAACGTTCATTTTTTTGAAGTGATCACTTTACAGTTACCAGTAGTATTAAGGTCGTTGCTAACAATAATAGTCAGATCTTAATAATCAGAAACTTCAAGTAATGTTGTTTCACTTATGCAGAAATTGTATAAACCGTTGAAGTGATTAGTTTTTGCCACTACACACCCAGAAGGATTGATTTTACTGGTAGCCTATATGTCCACCGACAGTGTTTACTTGAATTTCCTTGTAGTAATGTCTTATCAGTCACAACTCATGTAAGTATCCAGAACTTATTTTCGTTTTAAAGAAAAAGAGTATACCATTAACTTAATAAGTAAGAAAATATGATCAACTCCTGGGTAATGCCACTCTTGAAATTTCCATGATGACGGAGCGCTATTCAATTTGCCTGTTATTTCCTTTTACCAGGGTTGTAAATTATCTAGTCTTTAAATTTACAATCGATCCCAAATTTTTCCTCTTTTAGCCTGAGGCCTCATTGAACCTCAAGTTAAATGTATAAAAATTAAATTTGCCTGAATCTTTGTTCCTTGTATTGACCATTTGAAAAAAGTGAAAATGAAACAGGTATTTGGAGTTTGACAACGATTTAACCAGTAACATCTAATATGAATCGCACCCACCTAGTGAAATAAAAAGTCGGGAGCGAGGATGTTCGAAGATATATTTGTATGATAATTAGAAGTATTTGAATTATGGTAAGAACTCATAATCCCACAAATAACGTAATTGGATCAAGAACTACTAGATAAGCATGAACGAATGTACTGTATTTAGAATTCAAAATCAGGCATTCAACGAGTACAAAGGAATCCCCAGTTCATTCAAACACCACATCCGCCACAGCTTAAATTGGAGTCTAAGTGTCTGTAATCAATCGTACATCTTCTTCTCAAGTTTATATGAATATCTGGTTTCACTCTATATACTATTGCATAAATCTACATGTATTTATTCGAGTGCACTAAGGGGTTTTTTTAATTGTTGGTTTACTTTAGAGGTCGGTATTCATTACACAATTACTATTATTATCATAGTTGAACCCTTTCAGTAGATGTCTATTTCTCTTTTCTCTTTTTCTTTTTTCTATCTAAATAAATATTATTCATAAGATTACAAAGTTTGTTATTAAAATAATAACTTGTATTACACTTAAATTAACTTCACAGACTTGTATTATTTTCACTATTAATATATAACTTATACATATTGATATTTGGTTATCCTTTTCACTCAATTGTGACTATCATAGCAACACTTCAAACTATGACTGCACAAACATTTAATCTAACGTCTATTCTTACTGCAATAACAAGTTTTTTTCCTTAATTATTTTCTATTTTATTTTGTCCTTACTAATTTGACGATACATACATAGTCATTTATTCTTGTTCTGAGTTCATAAACACACTTATAAAACTATTTGCATATCTCACGTCTCCTTTATTTCTATTCCCGTATTTTCTTCCTTTCCTTCTTTCAACTCAATTCAATATTCTTCTCAATTACATAGAACCTGATTTATTATTATTATGCTATTATTACTACTCTCTTTTTTCAATTATGGCAAATATAATGTTAACATTATTGAAACTTGTGTACTATTGCATTTTTGAAGAAACCCGAAATGGTTTCTTCACAGCACTTATGTACCCATAAGATGTTTGTGAATAATAATAATAATATAAATAATTCAACGAGTACTAAGGAATCCTCAGTTTGTAGCGGTAAATAATTCCCCAAAATCAAATAGCTCTGTAAGTTTTCGACATTGAATGCTGACCACAGTTTTAGTGGACTCATCTAGCTGAAGGCGCTCGGTCAAGCATCCGCACCAGATCACGTGTGGGAACGCCGTGCTCAACATCTGCCGCAATCGCTAGCCAGATTAGTGCAAACGATCCTCGATATATTGATAGCTTATCAAATATATCTTCTATCTCCTCACTTCTGTCTTTTGAATTTACTTGGTGGGTGCGCTTCGTATTAGAAGGTGTTACTGGTTAAAGCGTTGTCAAACTCCGAATACCTGTGGCATCTTCATTGGTGAGCCCGACGTGATCTGGTACACCATATTGTAAACTGTGAGTCTGTTCCTTTTTGTGATTTTATATATCATTGTCTTATTTTAATTTTTTTTAACATTGTGATATTTTTTTCCCGTGTTTTTGGGTTTATATATATATTTCCCACTCGTTCGCTTTTCGTACTTGATATGTTACTATGACTGAAAAGACCCCTAAAGTATTTAAGCTAAAGACTGTGTCCCCACCCTCTTTTCAACTTATGCCTTTCTGGCCAGATAACATCGAAGCCTGGTTTTGTTACGCAGAAGCCGACTTCTTCGAGCACGGTGTGAACGGCACACGTGCATAATTCCTCGCAGTAGTCAAGGCACTACCGCGCGAATTTAACAGGTACGTAACACCTAGTATGTTTACTAGTGATGTTTCTGATCCATACCAAACCCTGAAACATGCCATCCTTAAACGCGGAGATCTAACCGATCGACCAAGGTTAGACCAACTCCTCAACAACATCGACCTGCAACACAGTTCTGCCACAGACATGTTGCAAAGAATGCGAGAAGTCATTGGCCAAAGAACCTCCGATGACGGCCTATTCAAACAACTTTTCTTATCCAAAATTCCTCAACAGGTGCAAGCTGTTTTGGTTTCGTTCCAAAACAACGCCTTAGACGAGCTAGCTGCATCTGCCGACCGCATTCTCGAAATCACTAGGTCTTCTAACGCCGAGGTTTTTTCAGTCAAATAAATGCCTCAAACGACCCAGAATGACATAACACAGTTATGTCATACACTTACGCGTTATCTCAAACTCTGTAACGACCGTAAACGATCATTTACCCCGCGGAGAAGCACATCACGTAGGCGATCTGTATCTAGAACTCGAGAGACGGATAATACTGATTGGTGCTGGTATCATAACCAGTACGGAAAGTCTGCCAGAAATTGCAGAAAACCCTGCAATTTTCCCAACGCGAAATCGGTCGACGCGAAGAATGTTTCGGGAAACTTCCAAGCCGGCACGCGTTAACGGCGACCGTAGCCGGCAAACATAGCCGTCTTTTATATGTCACTGATGTGATAACGAGAGTTCGCTACCTCGTCGATACTGGCGTAGAGGTTAGCGTTCTCCCAGCGAATTCCGACGACAGACTACACGAGCCTGTTTTAAATCTACAGGCGGCAGACGGAAAGCCCATCGCTACGTATGGCCAAAGGTATGTTTATCTTAACGTGGGTTTACGCAAACCCATTCACTGGATTTTTGTTGTTGTAGATGTTTCTATGCCAATCATTGGTATGGACCTTCTACAACACCACAACTTAATTATCGATACGCGCAAACGGAGGTTAGTAGACGGAAACACTAATTTATCTGTTTGCCTGACTTCTTTTTCTGGTTGCAGGTTATCTCCAGTCACCATTAAGCACACTATAGACCCCTTCTACCAACCACTACTCGATAAATATTCTGGCATTTACCAATCGCAACCGAAATTGCCGTGTGTAACCAGCAATGTTACACATCACATCACGACTACAGGACCACCTGTATTCTCGAAAGCACGCCGACTGGCCCACGAAAAGATAAGGTTGGCGAAAAACGAATTCGACCATATGATAAACTTAGGAATCATACGACCGTCAAACAGCCCATGGGCACCCCCGTTTCACATGGTCCCTAAAAAGGACAGCAACGATTGGCGTCCAACTGGTGACTATCGGTGATTGAATGCAAAAACCATTCCCGATCGTTACCCGATGCCCCACATTCACGATTTGACAGCTACCTTGAAAGGTGCAACTGTATTTTCAAAAATCGACTTGGTAAAAGCTTATAACCAAATTCCTATGGCCACTGAAGACATTCCAAAAACCGCTATTATAACGCCCTTCGGACTCTATGAATTTTTGCGAATGCCTTTCGGTCTGAGAAACGCGGCACAGACTTTCCAAAGGTTCATAGATGACGTTTATCGAGGTCTCAACTTCGTACAGGCATACGTTGATGACTGTCTAATAGCAAGTCCGGACAGAGAATCACATCTCCAGCATCTGGATCTTGTTTTCGACCAACTAACAAAACATGGCATTACCGTAAACATTCAGAAATGCCAAATCGGAACCGAATCCTTAGACTTCTTAGGACACACTATGGATGCGCATGGCATTCGACCCCTTAGAACAAAAGTGGTGGACATTCTGGATTACCCAGAACCGACCACCATCAAGCAATTGCGCACGTTTAACGGTCTAGTAAGTTTCTATGGACGGTTCATACCGAAATGCGCGTTACTTATGAAACCTATCACCGACCAACTTCGTGGAAATGCGAAATCCATCAATCTGGATGACAATGCACGAAAAGCACTCTCCACGGTTGAGGAACATATCGCCCGAGCAACAATGCTTGCTCATCAGGATCCTGAAGCGCCCATTAGTATCGCAGTAGACGCATCCGGCTC